AAAAAAAAAAAAAAAAAAAAAAAAAAGGAGGGAATGAGGGGAAAGGAGAAGTATGTTTTTTAAGCTCAGAAAACCAAAATGACAATGATACTACTGACAAAATGAGAGATTGTGGAGAAAAGTCAATTTGGGAAAAAGAAGATAAATAGTATTTGAAAAATACAGCATAGGGGATGGGGAGTCTGCTTTGCAATATGCTATAGCTTGTTAAAATATGACTGAAATATAAGGCAGTAAGAGTGAAATTACTGACTGGTGGCTACTTCGCAAAAAGATAATGCTTGCCCCTGATATGAGTAAGGAACTATTTTGAGCTTGTAAATTAATAATTCTGGAGCTGCATATTTCGGTGGATAGTTTTTGAATGATATTACAAATAAGATATATTGTGAATTTTTAATTCATTTCTCATTTATTTCTTTTTGCACCTTTTTCTTTACCTTTTCTTTTTTTGATACTGGGAATCGAACTCAGGACCTTGTGGTTGCCAGGCAAGTGCTGTGCTGCTGAGTTATATCCCCACCCCCTTCTCATTTATTTATAGTCTCAACTTCTTGGGGCTGGGGGTTTAGCTCAGCGGCAAAAGCGCCTGCCTGGCAAGCGCAAGGTTGTGAGTTCGGCTCCCGGTACCGGAGAAAAACCAAAAAAAAATTTAAAAAAATTTAAAAAAGTATAGTCTCAACTTCTTTATATTAAAATGAGCAGCTTATGAAAGTACATTAAAAACCATCTTCTTTCATATATTTTAAATTATTTATTGAATGAAGGACAATATTTTATAAGACTACAATAGTTCAGTTATCAAACCAAGAATGATTTGCTTTTAGAAGGCTAATGATGAGCCTACAGAAGATATTGTGATAACTGTGCTATCAAACCCATAATTCCTTTTAAAATTCCTTTTATGATTTTAAGGGTAGGCTCTTCGCCTGTTGACTTAAACTCCAGTGAAGTACCAATGAGGAACATTTACGGGGAGAATCTACTACATTTAATTGACTGACGGCTAACGAAGGGAGAATCTTACAAGGACAGATGGAAGGTGTCACAGCCGTCATAAGCAGTAGACTGCATTCGCATCTGCACATCTCAACATTTACTGAAATCACTGCTGCTATGAAACTCCCAACCGGCATTCAAACCACAGCAAAAGGCACTTTTCCGTTCTGCTTTCAGTGACCTGTGGCAGCTATCAAAGATGTCACTTTAAGTGCACTGAGAGAAAAAGCACCGGTGCCTGCAGTTAAGCAGACAGTATCCTTGGAAATAAAATTTTAAAAAAAATAAATAAACTGAACCAAAATAATAAATTCTTAGAATGTATTAAGGAACTATGGCATTTGAAATACAATACTATGAGACTTTCTTTGTACCAATACCTTATTTCTGTGGTTAGACTCTTTGGTACCCTTTAAGTCTCACTGGATATTTAGGTTTAATGTATTCAGCAGATGTAAAACATACACATTTCTGTTTGTATGTATGTGTTTAAGTGACTACAGCCTCAAAAGAATTAAAAAAATGACTACAGCCTTTATAATTTTGACAAATATAATTTAATACCATAGGATCTAATATGCCACAGAAAATATGTGATATGTGATATAGTCCAAAGTGCTATCTTTATGAAATGCCATATAGAATGAAAAGAACCAGATCAACATCAAGAAATCAACGGTTAGACAAGAACCAGACAACCATACATTTATCACACACTTACTGAGTAATAGTTAGGTACCATTTTTCTTTGTATCAAAGAAATACCAATATTACTTGATTCTAGTGGACAATGACAGATATAACAAAGTAAACATAATAGTACTGTGCATGAGTATTATTGGAATAGAACACAGTAATATGCCCCACAATAAATAAAAGAAGAAAAGTACTGCAGGCAGAGAGGAAGTTCTCACTGAGAAGATGATATTCAAGCTAACTGTCGGATGAAAAGTACATGAACCCTCCCAAAATATTCCCAACGAGGGGGTAGCAAATGAAAAGGTTTTGGTCCTAGAATAACTTGAAGGTTTAGGGAAACAGAACAAAGGACAGAGTCAATAGAATGTGAAATACCTGAATGTCCTGAGACAAGACTGTATCAAGTAGATATGTCCTTTTATTTATGTACAGCCTGAATGTCAGTCAATTTGCAGGGTATGGAAAGAAGTTTGAATTTTATTTTTAGTATAATTAAAAGCTGTTATTACATTTTTCACTTGAAATCCTAGTATATTTTTTAAATGTTACTAATCACCTTACCTCTCTCTCAATATAATAGTTTTCAAAGGTAAAGGTTTTCCCCACATACAGAGCAATATTATGAGCTATATCCCAATGTTATATATTACACATCTAGAATTTTTCATTCTATATATCTGCTACTTTTCATCATGGTATTTTAAAAGAGGGGAAATGATTCATTTTGCCCTTTGTACTTTTTTTTTTCCCCCCTCCGGTACCAGGAACCAAACTCATGACCTTGCGCTTGCCAGGCAGGCACTTTGCCACTGAGCTAAATCCCCAGCCCCCTTTGTGCTTTTTGGTAGAAAGTAAATTTTAGGGAAATAGGTAAATTTTCAACTTTTTAAAATTGTTTTAATTTTTTTAACTTTACAAAGTAACTGGAAGCAAAGTGATGATAGTTTGAACTTGGGACATATGCATTTAAGAATGAGCCATATCAAAGAGAAAGATTG